TCACTGGCCTCTGTGTGTCAGAGGCTGGAGAGGGATGGCAGGAGACAAATCGCTTGATCATTGTCTTCGGTCCACCCTCGCTGGGGCACCTGGTGCTGGCCACTGTCGGCAGACAGGATACTGGGCTAGATGGACCTTTGGTCTGACCCAGTACGGCCGTTCTTATGTTATGTTCATTATGCTTGACATTTGTCACCCTGATCAAAGGCCTGTGTAGGAAGCCCCTTGCCTGGGCTCACGGGCTCTGCCATCCACCACTCTCGTGAAGCTGGGAGCGTGACATTTAATCCCCCTCCCCCTGCCACCGTTTGGGGACAAGACCCACCTCTCTATCCCGTCCAGGAGATGTCGGTGTTTTCTGGACACCAGAGCGCTCCCACCCCAGGCAGCCTGCCAAGGAGAGACAGCGGCACTTTAGCCAGTGGGGAGTGAAACCCCCTGAGCCGGGGCCTGTGGCACCCTCAGCCAAAGGGAACCCTGTCTAAGATGGTCCCTCTAGCCCAGCCTAGGGCCTCTTCTTTTGCTGTGAGATCTATGATCCCCTGCCTTGGTGGAGAGCCTGACCATCCGGCCCGGGTTCTGCATGAGGCCCAGTGCACGTGGAGAGAAACGCAGCCCTTGGTTCCGGCACCAAACTGGCTTACGGGAACTTGCAGGTGACCCCCAGTCCAGGCATGTGGGACCAGAGAGATGCCATGAGCAAACTGATGTCCAAGTGCCCGGGATGGGGGATGCACTGGAGGCATAGCAGCTCTTGAACGTTGCATTGCGCACCAGCTGTGCTCACGTCAGCCTCAGCCTGAGCCCTAGTGGTGTTACTAGCTCTGCAGACCATGAGCAAAGCTCTGTGCGTGGACGGGGGGAGCTTCCAGGACCCTTCCCACTCCAGCAGCAGCGAATTCTGCAGTGGAGACAAGCCATGCAGGTTAGGAATACAGCAGTGCAGGGGTCTATGCAGCCAGGCTGTGGGAACCAGAGGTTCCCAGGATCTCCTCTATCTGCTCTCCTAGCCCCATCCCTCCCTGTCTCTGCCAATGTTGTGTGTGCCCAGGGACAGAGCCCTCCCTCGCTCCCTGGACACATTTCCCTGCTCGGCCCTTGGGGGACTCACATCCACGTGAAGCCAAGCCCCGTGGCGCTTGCACACGTCTGCCACGTCCACCAGCGGGTCGAAGGCTCCCAGCACCGTGGTGCCACAGGTGGCGTTGACGAAGAAAGGACACGCGCCCTGGAAGGGAATGGGGCAGTGGGTGGGCTGCGGTGTTACCGGGTGGGGAGGAGGTCCTCTCAGGCTGCTCCCTGCTCCACAGGCCAGACCCCTACCCCAAACTCACCTCCGATTTTGCCTTGTTGATCTGTCTCTCCAGATCCGCAGGTATCATTTTCCCCCTGAGGGTGAGAGCACAAACAAGCCCTGGCGGGACCGACTCCACACGGGTAGAGAGGGAATCTTCTCCCAAGTCCATGCATGTGGCCAAAGGGAAGCGTCGGGAGCAGCTCTTAGCCACTCTGCTCCCCTCTCAGCCCAGCAAGTCACTGACGGGACCTGCATAGGAGTGAGGGCTTTTGGGAGCTCCCAGCCACGGCTGCCCCGGCCTCCTTCAGAGACAGAGTCTGAAGGAAAGGGAGGGGTTGTCCTTGGTGGTGGGGAGCATTCAGCTACCCCAGGAGGGGCTGCTGTAGGCAGCAGGGCAGGAGCACGGATTGCCGGAGTGTCCAGCTTCAGCCAGGAGGGGTGCAAGAGGCACGCTCAGGCCCATGGCACCAGTGCCAAGTCACAAGCATTCCCGGAGAGCGCTCACCTCTCATCCACGCTGACCAGGTAGATGTTGTCGGTGCCAATGCCCAGGAAAGCTGCCCCCTTCTGGACAGAGTAGTGGCTCTGTGGGAGAAGGCGGAAGGGAGGGAATCAGCACAGACTCCTGCCAAGGTCCAGCCCCAACCAAACTGCAGGGCTCGGGCCACTCAGCTGTCATCCAAATGCTATGCAAATGCCAATCAGCCAGGCCTATGGGACAGGCCCAGACGCTGCCCTTAACAACTAACAGCTAATTATCATTATGAAGAAACCAAACAGGGAGCAGCTGCACGACATTCAGCCCTGCTCATTCCTCTTTCTGATAGTCAGGCCAGCTCGCCTCTGGAGGGGAGTCAGTCATTTGGTGAAGGGCAAGGGCATTGAGTCCTGTGTTCTTTTCTGAGCTCTGGAAGGGGAGTGGGCTCTAGGGGTTAGAGAAGTGCATGCTGGGCGGCAGGGTCCTAGGTTCTTTCCCTGGCGGTAGGAGGAAATGTAATTGACAGGGGAGAGCTGCGGGCTCCCTGGGGCCAGGGCGGCAGAAAGTGAGTGCCCCACTTGGTCCTGGACTGTGTGTTCTGTGATACGTCAGCCCTGCAGCGCTGTTCCGCCAAGGCCCCAGCACAGGCGGCCTGGAGACCTGATGCAGCGGATTCCCTGGCATGCTGGTAAGAGGCCCGTTCAAAGGGCTTTGACAAGTAACAACAATTATGGGCTTTTTGGTCTTGTCCAAATTAGCAGAAAAATGTTACAGCAAGAAGCCTTGGGTTGATGTTCCCTGAGCTGCACCGTCAATCCGGATCCTCTCCTCTTCCCACACCTCTCCAGCATTTACCACTGACAGAATCCAGGACCGGGGCATCCTGGACCTCTCTCCATCCCACAATGCAATGCTTCCTCCTTGATAAGGGCCCCAAAAGCCCCTGCTCCCTCTGCTGGTCTATGTGCTATTATGGCAGGCTGGCCAAATGGGGGAGAAGGACATGGGACAAGCCAAGTGGCTGAGGGCACAAGTGGGCCATGCTCTGGGAGGGGACACTGCAGCGCCTCATCGTGCAGGGAGACAAACCCAGCCCCTCTTCTTGTGCTCCTGTCGTGGCAAGTGAAGGGGACACCTCAGCCTGCACCTCTTGTGAAGTAAACACTGCCAGTCTCGGCAGCGCCCAGATCCCCGTCCTCTTGCTGTCCGGGAAGCGCTGGTACCGCGCCACGTTCATGGCATAGATGTTGGAGAGGGAGCCTCCTGCAGGGAAACAAACCCACAGAGATCAGTGCAAACCTGTCGCCCACTCCCCATGTGCTGCAGGGCAGGCGGGGACAGGAACAAGGACAGCAGTGGGGGGGGAGGAAGCGTCCCTGATCAGGGTTCAAGGACTGCACGAGAAGCTCATCCTGCTGGAGTCCTGGCTACCACCAGGGGGAGCTCCTGGGTGGTGCAGCAGCATCAGGGCACCAGGCTCTAGGACTCTGCATGAGAAGCTCTTTTGCCAGGCGCCAGAACCCCCGGAGAGAGACTGGGGTATCTCTGCTGCCTCCTTTGGCAAGGGAGGTCCTGTTGGGTCTAACCCAGGACATGGAAAAGGCTGGAGGGTCTCTCTGAGGCAGAGGGAACTAATGCTACAGATCGGGGGAGTTCTACAGAGAAGCAGCCTCCAAAAAGCAAAGCTCAAGAGAAAGCTTTGGTCACAGGTCAGCTTCTGTTGTTGCTGTTTAAGTGAGCCGCAAAGGCAAACTGTGGGGAGGGCTCAGTCAGGCTCTGTCCAGTACGTGTGCGCCATGGGCTAAACGTGCCCCTTATGTCAGCTGCTGTTAGAATACAGCTAGCCAGGCCTGTCTGCAAAGGCCTCTGTGTTATGGATTTAGTTGTGTTCTTTTCACTCGGCTAGTTGCAGAGGTACAAAAGGAATCAAAATCCCAAGTCTACCTGTGGATAAGCCTTCTCTCACTGGGTGCGTCTAGACTGGCCAGCTGTCTACACTGGCCCTCTGGTGCAAGTATTCTTGTGCAAGAGGGCTTTTTCCCGAGCAGGAGCGTGAAAATATTTGCACAAGAGGCACTGATTTTGTACATTACAAAGTCAGTGCTCTTGCGCAAATTCAAGCGGCCAGTGTAGACAGGGAAGAACTGCTTTGCGCAAAAAAGCCCCGATGGCTAAAATGGAGATCGGGGCTTTCTTGCACAAAACCGCATCTAGACTGGCCATGGATGCTTTTGCGCAAAAGCATCCGTGCCAATCTAGATGCACTTTTGTGGAAATGCTTTTAACGGAAAAACTTTTCCGTTAAAAGTATTTCCACAAAAGTGCATCTAGATTGGCACGGATGCTTTTGCGCAAAAGCATCCGTGCCAATCTAGATGCACTTTTGTGGAAATGCTTTTAACGGAAAAACTTTTCCGTTAAAAGTATTTCCACAAAATCATGCCAGTCTAGACGCAGCCACTGTGATGATCTGAGACCTTGTTCTTTGGCTAAGCAGCAATCCTGCAAAGCCTCCAGTCACATCCCAAACCTGCAGGGGAGGCAGCTCTAAAAAGCAGAGTCCTAGCTAATGAGGAGAGGGTTACTTCAAGGCAGCAAGGAGCAGCTGACCCAGCCTTATCACAGGTGGAGTGGAAGCAGCTGAGAGGGGGCTGCTATAAATCAATTAGGGCCAGCTGATCTCATTTCAGGCTGCCTGGGCCTTTTAAAAAGCTTTCCCTGGTGGGGGAAGAGTGGCAGAACAGGCTGGAGAGAAACCTTAACAGTTGAGGAGAGGATGGAAAAGCTACTAAAGAGAAGTCAGCATTGCCAGAGATGGTGAGGGGTTCTGACAGGAAGTGTTTGGGCTGTTTTGCCCAAGTATCTGGACTGGTTACCCAGACAAGGAGGCACCTACCCCACAGCCCTTCTAGCTGAGGAACAGAAATCCAAACCCAGCAAAGGCAAGAGGGGCCTGTGCCACTGCACCTCAGCTGTCAACAAAATTGTGAAGGAACAGGGGCCAGGGGCCATCCGTAATGTTCGGATCCAATCTAACCCCTCCAGATGAAGGAAAGAGCTGAGAATGTTTGCTGGAAACGAACTAGGGATGTGAGGCTACGTCTATATTGGCAAGATTTTGCGCAAATTCTCTTTAACACAAGAGTTTTTGCGTTAGAGTATTTGCACAAGAGAGCGTCTACACTGGCATGTGCTTTGGCGCAGGAGATGTGCTTTTGTTTGAAAGCATCCGTGCCAGTGTAGATGCTCTTGCACAAGAAAGCTCTGAAGGCCATTTTATCCATCGGGCTTTCTTGCGCAAGAAATTCATGTTGCCTGTCTGCACTGGCCTCTTGCGCAAGAAGGCTTATCCTGAGCGGGAGCGTCATAGTTCTTGCGCAAGAAGGCTTATCCTGAGCGGGAGCGTCATAGTTCTTGCGCAAGAAGGCTTATCCTGAGCGGGAGCGTCATAGTTCTTGCGCAAGAAGGCTTATCCTGAGCGGGAGCGTCATAGTTCTTGCGCAAGAAGGCTTATCCTGAGCGGGAGCGTCATAGTTCTTGCGCAAGAACTCGCGGCCAGTATAGACAGACAGCAAGTTTTTGAGCAAAATCTTGCCAATGTCGACACAGCCTCATAGTGTAGACATGGGCTCATAGGTTAACTTACATGCAGTGCCCCCGTACTGCTGGCTCTATCTCAGAGCAGCAGTGCAGGAGGGAGCTGGTGCACGGGGGGAGCTAGCTTTTAAGCCCAGCTCCCTGGGCACACTGACTCCTCCGGAGCTGCCTCCTCTCCCATCCACCCATGCTGCTGCCTCTGTATCAGAGGCAGCGGGGGAAGGGGACAGGTGGCACTGTGGGAGCTATTGCTCCCTGTGTGTAAACGTGTAACTGCTGAAATTACCAGCAGTTATGCATTTACCTGACTGCACACATTTAAACAGCCCCAAAAGATAGTATTGTCTGCACTTTAGACTTCTGGTCATTTTCTCTAGCTAAGGGTCAAGACCGAGGGAGGGGAGGCTGAAGGGGAAGCCCCCAGCACTAACTGCTCATGCACTTTGTTCAGGGATCTCCTTGCCCTGCAGGACTCTGGCAGTTCTGAGCTCTATGGTCATGGGTCAGATCCTGGAAAAACTGGTGCAGCTCAATCATAGCAACGGAGCTACCTCAACTGACCTCAGTGAGGAGTCTGGCCCTGCACCTTCACTTTGGATCTGTGCAGGGGACATTAACCAGACTGGCAATGGGACCTAGCTCCCCAGTCCCAGCAGGAAACCCAGTTCATGAAAAGGGCCTGGATGCCCCTGGTTTACCAGCCTCACGCACCTGGACAGAATATCCCGTCTCCACTGTCCCAGCCAATCAGCTCCCGTAGCTTCTTAAGCACCACTTCCTCCATCAGCACGAACACAGGGGCAATCTCATAGGTGTACCTGGGACACACAGGCTATGTCTGCACTGTGGTGCTATTTCGGGATACTGGAAGTACCCTGAAATAGCAATTCTGTGTCTTTTGAACGCGTCCGTTATTTTGAAATAACAAATGTGCTATTCCGGCGTCCCTGCAACCTAAGCCTATGTCTACACTGCCCAGTCTTGCGCAAGAACATATGCAAATGAGGCCTGGTGATGAATATCGCCAGGCCTCATTTGCATACTTAATGAGCCGCCATTTTGCGCAAGAAGGAGCAGTCTGCACTGTGCAAGGGCCGTTCTGCTGCTTATTTTCAGGCAGAATGGTTCTTGTGCAAAAGCCCCTTGGGCAAAAATGGCAGCTCATTTGCATATGTTCTTGCACCAGACTGGGCAGTGTAGACGTAGCCCCTGAGGTAAGGGATGTTTGGGAATAGTGCTTGATTTCCACATTCCCTTAAAATAAGCTTTACAATTTGCGGCTTATTTTGAGGTAAGTGTGCCGTGTAGACGAACCCACCCAGCCACACTCCAGCAAGGCACGCAGCCAGGGGGAGAGAGTGTGCATGGGATTTCAGGGAGAGGATACTGGGCCATACTGCAGAGGGCTAACCAGCCGAAAGCCCTGATCCAAGAACACCTGGGAGTGGAATAGCAGAGTGGGCTGAGAGTTGGGATTGAGGGGCACCAGCAGAGCCGGCGGAGCATAGGGCAGGAATAGGGGGGGGCTGGGGGTTGGGATTGAGGGCCCGAGCAGAGCTGAGGGGCGCATAGGGCAGGAATAGGGGGGGGCTGGGGGTTGGGATTGAGGGCCCGAGCAGAGCTGAGGGGCGCATAGGGCAGGAATAGGGGGGGGCTGGGGGTTGGGATTGAGGGCCCGAGCAGAGCTGAGGGGCGCATAGGGCAGGAATAGGGGGGGGCTGGGGGTTGGGATTGAGGGCCCGAGCAGAGCTGAGGGGCGCATAGGGCAGGAATAGGGGGGGGCTGGGGGTTGGGATTGAGGGCCCGAGCAGAGCTGAGGGGCGCATAGGGCAGGAATAGGGGGGGGCTGGGGGTTGGGATTGAGGGCCCGAGCAGAGCTGAGGGGCGCATAGGGCAGGAATAGGGGGGGGCTGGGGGTTGGGATTGAGGGCCCGAGCAGAGCTGAGGGGCGCATAGGGCAGGAATAGGGGGGGGCTGGGGGTTGGGATTGAGGGCCCGAGCAGAGCTGAGGGGCGCATAGGGCAGGAATAGGGGGGGGCTGGGGGTTGGGATTGAGGGCCCGAGCAGAGCTGAGGGGCGCATAGGGCAGGAATAGGGGGGGGCTGGGGGTTGGGATTGAGGGCCCGAGCAGAGCTGAGGGGCGCATAGGGCAGGAATAGGGGGGGGCTGGGGGTTGGGATTGAGGGCCCGAGCAGAGCTGAGGGGCGCATAGGGCAGGAATAGGGGGGGGCTGGGGGTTGGGATTGAGGGCCCGAGCAGAGCTGAGGGGCGCATAGGGCAGGAATAGGGGGGGGCTGGGGGTTGGGATTGAGGGCCCGAGCAGAGCTGAGGGGCGCATAGGGCAGGAATAGGGGGGGGCTGGGGGTTGGGATTGAGGGCCCGAGCAGAGCTGAGGGGCGCATAGGGCAGGAATAGGGGGGGGCTGGGGGTTGGGATTGAGGGCCCGAGCAGAGCTGAGGGGCGCATAGGGCAGGAATAGGGGGGGGCTGGGGGTTGGGATTGAGGGCCCGAGCAGAGCTGAGGGGCGCATAGGGCAGGAATAGGGGGGGGCTGGGGGTTGGGATTGAGGGCCCGAGCAGAGCTGAGGGGCGCATAGGGCAGGAATAGGGGGGGGCTGGGGGTTGGGATTGAGGGCCCGAGCAGAGCTGAGGGGCGCATAGGGCAGGAATAGGGGGGGGCTGGGGGTTGGGATTGAGGGCCCGAGCAGAGCTGAGGGGCGCATAGGGCAGGAATAGGGGGGGGCTGGGGGTTGGGATTGAGGGCCCGAGCAGAGCTGAGGGGCGCATAGGGCAGGAATAGGGGGGGGCTGGGGGTTGGGATTGAGGGCCCGAGCAGAGCTGAGGGGCGCATAGGGCAGGAATAGGGGGGGGCTGGGGGTTGGGATTGAGGGCCCGAGCAGAGCTGAGGGGCGCATAGGGCAGGAATAGGGGGGGGCTGGGGGTTGGGATTGAGGGCCCGAGCAGAGCTGAGGGGCGCATAGGGCAGGAATAGGGGGGGGCTGGGGGTTGGGATTGAGGGCCCGAGCAGAGCTGAGGGGCGCATAGGGCAGGAATAGGGGGGGGCTGGGGGTTGGGATTGAGGGCCCGAGCAGAGCTGAGGGGCGCATAGGGCAGGAATAGGGGGGGGCTGGGGGTTGGGATTGAGGGCCCGAGCAGAGCTGAGGGGCGCATAGGGCAGGAATAGGGGGGGGCTGGGGGTTGGGATTGAGGGCCCGAGCAGAGCTGAGGGGCGCATAGGGCAGGAATAGGGGGGGGCTGGGGGTTGGGATTGAGGGCCCGAGCAGAGCTGAGGGGCGCATAGGGCAGGAATAGGGGGGGGCTGGGGGTTGGGATTGAGGGCCCGAGCAGAGCTGAGGGGCGCATAGGGCAGGAATAGGGGGGGGCTGGGGGTTGGGATTGAGGGCCCGAGCAGAGCTGAGGGGCGCATAGGGCAGGAATAGGGGGGGGCTGGGGGTTGGGATTGAGGGCCCGAGCAGAGCTGAGGGGCGCATAGGGCAGGAATAGGGGGGGGCTGGGGGTTGGGATTGAGGGCCCGAGCAGAGCTGAGGGGCGCATAGGGCAGGAATAGGGGGGGGCTGGGGGTTGGGATTGAGGGCCCGAGCAGAGCTGAGGGGCGCATAGGGCAGGAATAGGGGGGGGCTGGGGGTTGGGATTGAGGGCCCGAGCAGAGCTGAGGGGCGCATAGGGCAGGAATAGGGGGGGGCTGGGGGTTGGGATTGAGGGCCCGAGCAGAGCTGAGGGGCGCATAGGGCAGGAATAGGGGGGGGCTGGGGGTTGGGATTGAGGGCCCGAGCAGAGCTGAGGGGCGCATAGGGCAGGAATAGGGGGGGGCTGGGGGTTGGGATTGAGGGCCCGAGCAGAGCTGAGGGGCGCATAGGGCAGGAATAGGGGGGGGCTGGGGGTTGGGATTGAGGGCCCGAGCAGAGCTGAGGGGCGCATAGGGCAGGAATAGGGGGGGGCTGGGGGTTGGGATTGAGGGCCCGAGCAGAGCTGAGGGGCGCATAGGGCAGGAATAGGGGGGGGCTGGGGGTTGGGATTGAGGGCCCGAGCAGAGCTGAGGGGCGCATAGGGCAGGAATAGGGGGGGGCTGGGGGTTGGGATTGAGGGCCCGAGCAGAGCTGAGGGGCGCATAGGGCAGGAATAGGGGGGGGCTGGGGGTTGGGATTGAGGGCCCGAGCAGAGCTGAGGGGCGCATAGGGCAGGAATAGGGGGGGGCTGGGGGTTGGGATTGAGGGCCCGAGCAGAGCTGAGGGGCGCATAGGGCAGGAATAGGGGGGGGCTGGGGGTTGGGATTGAGGGCCCGAGCAGAGCTGAGGGGCGCATAGGGCAGGAATAGGGGGGGGCTGGGGGTTGGGATTGAGGGCCCGAGCAGAGCTGAGGGGCGCATAGGGCAGGAATAGGGGGGGGCTGGGGGTTGGGATTGAGGGCCCGAGCAGAGCTGAGGGGCGCATAGGGCAGGAATAGGGGGGGGCTGGGGGTTGGGATTGAGGGCCCGAGCAGAGCTGAGGGGCGCATAGGGCAGGAATAGGGGGGGGCTGGGGGTTGGGATTGAGGGCCCGAGCAGAGCTGAGGGGCGCATAGGGCAGGAATAGGGGGGGGCTGGGGGTTGGGATTGAGGGCCCGAGCAGAGCTGAGGGGCGCATAGGGCAGGAATAGGGGGGGGCTGGGGGTTGGGATTGAGGGCCCCAGCAGAGCCGAGGGGAGCATAGGGCAGGGATAGTGGGGGGCTGTGGGGTGGGATTGAGGGCACCAGCAGCGCCGGTGGAGCATAGGGTGGGAACAGCAGGGACGGCAATAAAGCTGAAGGTGCACTGGCAGGGTGCATGGGGGAGCCCACATAGGTCCTGTGCCCGCACTGTACCAGCTTTGGTGGGATTTGAGCCTTTTCCTTTCAGGAGAGCCAAGCCCACAACAGCCAAGGAGAGATCCTGCAGCCTCCGGGTCCTTGGGGCAAAGATGAGGGCCCAGAACTTTCCTCCCTCCTTGTGAATTTCCCCTAATTCCTATTCTTTTGGCCGCACGCAGGCCCTGCATTCTCGCTGCACTGTAGCCCTGTGGTTGCCCACCCCCCGAGATGTGCTGCCTCTGGACGGCTCCGGGCACTCCGACAGGGAGCATTGAGCGTCTCGGTGATCATGCGTCCCGCCAGGGCGTGAGGATCCAGCCCCGAAAACAGCTGGTTAAAGAAACGCGGATGACCTGGGTGGGGGAGAGATTAACACAGGACAAGAGCAGGAAACAGAGGTTGTGTCTTCACTAGACCTGAGCTAGATCAGATAGAACATCAGCAGACACCTGGCACCAGCTCAGCCCTGCACTGGCGGCCTCCAGCCACGTGTCCATAGATACAGCCCCTGCCACTGGAGCCAGAGGAGAATCTCTGTGAGCTCTGGCAGTTTTAGGGCTGTTACCCTCTTTGGGCTGCAGCCTGTACACTTGGCTGGAGTCCAGTGACATATACAGCCCTGCTTGTATGGCACAGCTGTGCGGCTGTCCCTTATGGCTGTAGTTTTGGCCTCACATTTGGGCCCTGAGAGCCTTGTTCTCCCTCTGACACACCCCCAAGCAACAGGAGGTGGGGGCACCAGGACAAGCCATTACAGTCTCATCACCTACATGTTTTCACGCTGTAGCGGATGATGTCCCGGCAGTGGTCCAGCATTGTCTGCTGGGGAGCCCCGCTGCTCCTCAGCTCCAGGTCCAGGATTTGCTGCAGGTCATGGGGCTCCCTCCACTCACAGACCTGAAGGGACAGAGACAACCTGTCAGCAGTCTGCTCTGGCCCTGCTGCACCAGGAGAACAACCCTTCCCTGGGTGCTTCCTGCTCTGGGGGGCATGGAGCAAGCAGGGCCCTCCCCAGCTGGGTGTCCCCTGCAGGTCAGCTGGGGGTGAGCCTGGTAGAAACCTCGATTCCTAGAACTGGAAGGGACTTTGAGAGATCATCGAGTCCAGTCCCCTGCCCTCACGGCAGCACTAAGCACTGTCTAGACCATCCCTGGCAGGCGTCTGTCCAACCTGCTCTTAAATATCTCCAGGGATGGAGATTCCACAACCCCCCAGGCAATTTATTCCAGTGTTTCACCACCCAGACAGGCAGGAAGTGTTTCCTAATGTCCAACCTAAACCTCCCTTGCTGCAGTTTAAGCCCATTGCCTCTTGTCCTGTCCTCAGGGGCCAAGGAGAACAATTTTTCTCTTTCCTCCTTGTGACACCATTTTAGTTACTTGAAAACTGCTACATGCTACACACATATACACTTCTCTTTTCTAAACTAAACAAGCCCAGTTATTTCAGTCTTCCTTCGTAGCTCATGTTCTCTAGACCTTTAATCATTCTTGTTGCTCTTCTCTGGACCCTCTCCAATTTCTCCACATCTTTCTTGAAATGTGATGCCCAGAACTGGACACAACACTCCAACTGAGGCCTAATCAACGCAGAGAGAAAGAATGACCTCTCGTGTCTTGCTCACAACACTCCTCTTAATGAATCCCAGAATCATATTTGCTTTTTTGCAACAGCATCACACTGTTGACTCATATTCAACTTGTGGTCCACTCTGACCCCTAGATCCCTTTCCGCCATGCTCCTTCCTAGACAGTCGCTTCCCATTCTGTATGTGTGAAACTGATTGTTCCTTCCTAAGTGGAGCACTTTGCATTTGTCCTTACTAAATTTCATTCTAGTTACCTCAGACCCGTGGTCCCCAACACGGTGCCTGCGGGGGCATTTGCATGCGCCCGCCAGGTGCTCGGGGCTGGCTTGGCCCCGGGCACATGGCGCGGCGCTTGCGGGATATCTCCTACTGGGTGTTCCAGCACAGTATGGAGGCAACAGAACAGCTTTAAAATCAAAATGGTTTGCGGGGAGCGTTGGCCCCGGGCGCGCGGCGCTTGCAAGGGGGAGGGGAAAGCCCCGGCCCCGGGCGCACGGCGCTTGCGGGGTGCTTGTGGGGGGGCTCCCCGCCCCCGGGCAAGGGGCTATGGGGGGGCCGCCCCCGGGCGCGCAAGTGTCCCCGCCCCCTGGCGCCCGACAACCTCAAAAGGTTGGGGACCACTGCCTCAGACCATTTCTCCAGTTTGTCCAGTTCATTTTGAATTTTGACCCTCTCCTCCAAAGCACTTGCAACCCCTCCCAGCTTGGTATCATCTGCAAACTTAATAAGCGTCTTCGCTAAGCCAATATCTAAATAGTTGATGAAGATATTGAACAGAACCGGTCCAAACAGACCCCTGCAGAACCCCACTTGTTATGCCCTTCCAGCAGGATTGTGAATCATTAATAACTACTCTTTGAGCACAGTTCTCCAGCCAGTTCTGCACCCACCTTATCGTAGCCCCATCTAGGTTGTATTTCCCTAGTTTATTGATAAGAAAGTCATGTGAGACCATGTCAAATGCCTTACTAAAGTCAAGGTATACTTAGAACAGCTTCAGGGGGTAGCGAGTTGGTCTGTACAGGATAAACTTAAAAACAACAAACGCTCCGGTAGCACTTTAACGCCTAACAAAACATGTCGATGGGCTCATGAGCTTTCGTGGGCACAGCCCACTTCTCCAGATGACCGGAGTGTTGGATGTCCAGAACCAAAAGCTGTGGTCTGCGGACCCCTGGTGGTCCTTGACGGTACTGCAGGAGACCCATGGAAAGTTTACAGTGGGCCTGATCCTTACTTTTCTTTTTTTCCCCAGGGCCGGGGGGTCTGTGAAACTGTAAGAGACTGAAAAGGGGTCCGAATACTCAAAGAGGTTGGGAGCCAGGTGTCTCCAGCCCCTGTGCCTGTGTGAGGGGAGTTCCTCCAGGGGGGCCGAGGGGCAGAAGGAGTTGGGTCTTGCCTAAGGGTCAGCAGGGGACAAGCAGCTCATTTCTATGCACTCTCCTCTGCACTTAGCTCTGGTACTTCCCCTCTGGCACCATCCTTGGGCAATGCAGGAGTCTAGAATGGTCCCCTGGCTCTGGAGCAGCCGTGCAGCCTTGGCTCAGTGCCAGGACTGCACAGGTTGGGGGGAGTGGAATCCGAGCAGCACATCAGCGAGAAGCTCTCCTTACAGCCGCCATCCCTCCTGCTGCTCCTGAGACAACCCTGAGCGGGAGGATGCCTGCCTGCCTGCCTCCCAGAGTGAGGCCTCCAGGCTCTGTGCCCCGGTGTGCCCGCAGCTCTGCCAGACCCTCCCCTAGGAGAGCGGACAGCAGAGCAGTGTGACAGTCACAGTGAGGGGACTAGACCACTCACACTGAACACTCACCTCCCCACTTACAATCCAAGACTTGAGTGGGTCCAGGATTCATGGACGGGCACCGGCACGCAGCCTCTGGCTGCTCTCCTCTCTAAGGCACTGGGCCAGTCCATCTAGACGTACTAGGCTCAACATCCTCTCTATTTTTTCCATCCATGTACAGAATATATTTTCTATGCACCAAGGCACGTGCAGATGTGCAGCACCAATAGAAGCATGTGCTGCCAGCTATGTGGTCTGGGCGTATGCTGTAGGGGGTGACCATGGAGTCTGTGCCAGGGCAGCCTGTGCCCAAGTAGCAGCCTGTGCTGGGATTGCAGGGGGTGGCACTGGAGAAGGCCCACTGAACTGCTTCTCTATGTTCCTGCTAAGGGACTGGAAAAGCCATTAATCAGCATTGCTCCAGGCAAAGGGCACCTGGAGGCAGGCCAGTGATCACCACTGGCAGCATCTCGGCTTAGAAACAGCAGCCCTTTGCCACATGCCTGTGTATGAAGAGGGAAAATCCCTCCCCAACCCATACAGAAGATGGGCCAGCCACAGGCTACCCTATGGAACAAGTTGGGGCTACACTCCAGCCTCCTGGGCTGCCCAGCCCCCCTGGACTCAGGACCCCACCTTTTCTGTCACATCTGTGCCTTTCCTGATAGCTTCTTCCAGGATGATCTGAAAAGCTTCCTGCAGGAACTCCTCACCAGCTGTCTGATCCAGGGCAGGGTGGCACAGGGGATCTTCAGCCATCATGCCCCTGTACATCAAAACACACAAGAGACCTGTGAATCTATGTGCTGGCAGCAGGGAGAGACATACACTTTCCTGGGAGAGACGCATGAAGCCCAGGGGTCACAGGGGCTCTGGACACCCCACCTGCAGTACAAGAGCCTTCCTATTCACAGCCTCCTTTCGCCTGCCAGGCACCTTTGCTAGGGCAGTGGGAATCACAGACAACCTACCTGAATCCACAGAGAGGTGGGTGATATGGACCCGTCTAGAATGACCGCTCCTTCCAGCAGGACTTGGTTATCTCCGCATTGTGGAGGAATGCCCTCCCCATGGCTAGGTCTACACTAGCACCATTTTTTGGAAAAAGCTACAATAAATTGCACTCTGCAATTTGTGTAGCTTTTTCCGATTGCTTTTCTGGAAGAGGCTTTCCCATCATTTGGCCCCGTCTGGGTGGGGCCAAATGGCGGAAAAGCCTCCTCTTTCGGCGGAGATGTAGAATGGGGTACTCAGGGCTCCCAGAAAGAGCGCGTTTGCTCTTCCGCATAAAAAAGCAGAACCCAGCACTGACCAATCCTGTCCAGGCTACACGGACAGCCCAGATGCCCGGCATGTCACCCAATGGCATGGCTGCAGCTTTCCTCTTCACACGGGCTACCCCTAGACTGGCGGGTGTTTCCGGGATACTGGAAAACTCTGCCGCGTCCAGGGAACGCGTTTGCTCTTCTGCTTTTTTTTGCGGAAGAGCAAACGCACTCTGTCTGGGAGCCCTGCTAGCCCTTCCTAGCCGCGAGGAAGACATTCCTCCACAGACCAAGCTCCTCGTTCTGGGAAAAGGGGCATAAGCACAAAGATCTTGGAACTAAGGGTGTGTGACGTGTCTACACAGCAGGGCTTAGCTCAAAATAAGCTACACAAATGGAGCTACATCAATTGCGTAGCTCATTTCAAAATAGCTCATGTCAAGTTTTGGTGCTGTCTACACAGCATTTATTTCAAAAAATTTGAACTGTGGCAGCATCTAGGAGCCCCAGTCATGGCCCAAAGCCCACCGCGCTCAGTGCTGTGCAACCAGTAACATGACAACTCCTGGCCCAAAGAGCTCCTGATCTGAGTAGAAGACACAAAGCAACAGGCAGATGCAGACAGACAGACAGAGGAGAGCCAGGAGACAATGCAACACTAATGGTCAGTCTGGCAGGCCGTGATTTCAGCACCCCAGTGGTCTATCTCGGACATCATCTCCTTTCTTTCTATGCCACACAACCCCCAGCTTGGCTGTGAAACCCCTTCTTCCATGAGTGCTCTTCTGAATAATTCCATAAGCTCCTCTGAACCACAGAGTCACCCCTCTGTGTCTCTGTGGCACTGTCCCAATCTGATCCAACGGTCAGTCCTCAGGCCACAGTCCAATTCTTCCTTGCAGCCTCATGCGGTGCTGAGAAAAAACCCTTCCCACCACAAACAACTGCGCTGAGCTCTCCTGCATCGGAGTCCGTTCAGCCCCCAAACAACTGCTCTGGGGAAAAGGCACTCAGTGTCCTCTTACCTCGCCAGTCCTGAGAGATCTGTGTCCAGCTCACAGGGCCAAAGTACAATGGAAAATGGTCTGCTGACAAATCACTCCACACCGCAGCTCTTAAAGGCACCCCGGCTGCTTCCAGGAGGCTTTCTCTTTGCCAGGCACTAACAGAGCTGAATTCATCTAGCCCCCGGCTGGGCTCAGTCCAAAGAGGGTGGCTCTGAGATACCTCTCTGTGCTAAATGCTATTTGCCAGGGACAACCCAGGCCAGAGCAATGCTGAGACATTAACAAACTAAACTCCTTTGGCAAAATTGATCATAATGGCTCCCCAGCCACAGAGGGGAGCTTTCTTCTTTCCCCCCATCCGCCCCCATTTCCCCTTCCTGGAGTTCAGGCGCAGTGGAGAGGCAGCAGCTCCTTACCTGCTAGATACTGGAGGTGAAATGAACTAGGCAGCTGTGGCCAAAGTGCATTCTACCAGCCACAGTGCAGTGCAGAGGTGCAGCTAGCAAGAACTGCAAGTCCCAGGGTGTGGCCTCCCAGCTCGCTGCCAGGAGGTGCAACTAGGAGCCCCCACATGCAATGCACCAGATAGCTTCCCCAATTATCACCTCTAAAATCATTAGCTCACAGACATTAACCTCCCCCACCTCATCCCCCTTCTAAGTCACAAGGATGTGCCAAGAGTGGAGGCTGCTTACAAGAGAATGGATGGACAATACAAGCATCACTTGTATGCAGCAGGAAAAGCAAGTAACCAAGGATGCAAGAAGCACCCCTCCCCCAGACATTAACTATGACCCCTCCCCAGACATTAAATATGACCTCCATAGGCAAGAGAAAGGCTGCCCTTGGGATTTAGGAGATCTGACTAATTCTTGGTGCTATCACAGATGCCCTGGGTGAGTGGGGGCAAATTACACAAATCTCTGTGGGCCTCAATTTCCCATCTGTACTGTAAAATGAGGGTGATAAAGTTTCCTTTCTCCAACCCTTGCCTATTTAGACAGTATGTTCTTTGGATAGGGACAATCAATTGCCATGTGTTTATACTAAGAAATGTCTTCCCTGGGGTAGCTGCACCAGCTAATAATTCTCCACTAAACACTTGCTCAGTGCAAATTACACTAACTCACTGCACCAATTTTTCTTACCCCAAAGTAATAGGATTGCTATGCTGACATCTTTGGAGTCCTGTCTTTTTCCTGTTCTGTGCATCCTGCAGCCAAAGCAAACCTTGCAACTCCCAATGCAGACATGGAATAAAACAGACCTTGCCGAGGATTTGCCACCCTGGATTCAAATGACTGGTTCATTTAGTTTGGCCTCAGAAATCCTGCCAGCAGCGGCAACTTCAAAGCACAGTTAATATACCCCCATCATGCGCTGGGCTGATTGTGCAAGGATGTGCCTAGGTGGTAACAAAAAATGATGCCCCAATCCCAAGCAGGCCATCGGCTTACGCTGCAGCATGAGAGGTACTTACTCTTATCTGAGCCTGAGGAGCTATAAACGTTATTACTGGACATAAAAACCACCCTCGCCTCCTTCAGATCCAGGCAGAGCCATTCTCCCTCGGAAGTGCACAGACGGGCTAAACTCCTTTAAGACCTGTTTCCATTTACTGTGGCTTTAAATTTAGCTGCCGTTCATTTCAGGAATGGAAAATCCAGTAATTTTTCGGTGATTCCTAGTATAATTAATACAAAACTCAGAGCAAGAGCAGCATAAGGCCTTCATCCCCCATTGATTCTCAGCCTTTCCCATGATGAGCCCCCAGGTTACAACAGGCAGAGGAGTCAAGCCTGCTCACCCATCTAGCCATAAAGATAGGGAAAATGGTCATGCCCCCCCAAGTCCTCTTTGTACACCCCAGGAACTAAGGTCCATGGACCTGAAAACCACATGCAGGGTTGCTGAAATCTGGCTCGTTCAATCTGATCAATTTGACTTAGTCCAGTATTTGGCTCACTCAGTCCCAAAAACTCCCCCCAAAACTGCACAGTTTCACACTTTTCTCTGCAACCATGAGGGCTAGAAACTTAAAAGATGAGTCTCTTCTAATCACAGGACTCCAGGAACTAGGGTTTTGAAGCACCAGATATTGTCAGGAGCTTCAGGGGGTAGCCGAGTTAGTCTGTTACAGAAAAACACAACAAATGGTCTGGTAGCACTTTGTAGACAAACAAAACATGTGGATTAGTAATAGAGATGTAGCCATGTTAGTCTGGTGTAGCTGAAACAAAAGACAGGACTATGCAGCACTTTAAAGACTAACAAGATGGTTTATTAGGTGTTGAGCTTTTGTGGGCCAGACCCACTTCCTCAGATCAAATTGTGAGCTAACCCATTACAAAGATAGCTTCCCCAATTATCACCTCTAATATCGTTAGCTCACAGACATTAACCTCCCCCTCCCCCCCCCCAATCCCTCTTCTGTTCTGAAATTTGATTTGTCCTTTTTATATGTGTTCACTTTTTTTGATTGTATCCCTTTGGTATATATGGTCATGCCAATTTTCTTCCACAATTTGATCTGAGGAAGTGGGTCTGGCCCACAAAAGCTCAACACCTAATAAACCATCTTGTTAGTCTTTAAAGTGCTACATAGTTCTGTCTTTTGTTTCTTCTAATTTGTTGAGGGGGATAGTTTCAAAAGTAGCTAAGGAATTTCAGGGCACAAATCCCAGTCATTTTCTATGCCACTTGGGCTCCTGAGGCCCTGGGAATATCTCCTTCGTTTGTTAAAATAAACGCTACTCTGGTTTATGATTAGGGCGGAGAATGGTAAAGATGGTGAAAACTACAAGTTCTGAAAAGCAACTGGAAAGCAGAAAAGGGTCTGAGTCACACAGAGCATGTTAATTACAATCCTCAGGTAAGATAAGGCCTTGCACTGTAAATCATTAAATCTTCACCTTTCGAACCCACGCTTATTATGCCACAGCAATATCATATTCCTGTGAGAATGAACATCACCCTTTTACAGGCCTTCTCTGCTCAGGGAAACCATCCCTAATTCATGCAAATCCACCTACATTGGAAATGTGCTTTGCCCTGCAGCATGTTACCTGCTTTCTGCATGTATATCCCCTCAAGGAGGGGAGGGTGAACAGGGCAAAGGAACAGAATCAATTCCTGCACCCTGGCCCACAGATCCAACTGGGAAATTAATTACATGTGTTACTCCACATGGTGTCACCCCGGGACAGGCCAGCACCAACACCTGCCAGAGTTCTAGGGAGCACAAACAGGGATTTCAACATGGCACACATGACTGTAGCAGCCATGAAGGCTGCAGCTGCCACTCTCTGTGGCTAAGGGCCCCCTTTGCTTTTGAAACAGCTGTCAGTGATGTGGAGCTGTGTACACTTATTACAAGGGGTGGGAGTCATAGTCCTTGTAGGCCCCTGTTCTTAGGGAACTCTGAGTCCCTGACCTGCCACCTCCCAACCCTAATGTGGGGGGGATTTTTTAACGCATATGGAATGTTAGGCAAAAATTCCTTTGAGAGGCATGTTCCTTTAAAACTATTAGGAGCCGAGCAGGCAGACAGCACAGCTCAGTTCCAGCTCCTGCCAGGTCTGGGAGCGCGCACTCTCTCTCTCTCTCTCTCTCTCTCTCTCACACTCACACACACACACACACACACCCCACAGGGCTGCTGCCACCCTGCGGTGCTTCCTCTTTATCAGAGGCATCAGCAAAGGGTGACAGGCAACTGGTCCGGAGGGGAGCTGGTTTTTAAACTGGCTTCCCTCACAGACCAGCTTCTACTTAGCACCCTGCACTGCTGCCTGTGATACAGAAGCAGGAACACGGACTGGTAGGGGCTCCTTGGGAGTGGGGCAAACTGGCTGCTGGCCCTGCCCACAGGGACTATAGAAGAGTTGACTAACCAATAAGAATTCATGAGGTTACTCGACTATTCAATTAACCGATATTTAACATCCCTAGTTTGTACAGCAGTAGAGCAATGGGATGCTGCACCATGACTAGGGCTTCTGGGTCCCACCACAATACACATATTCAATAATAATAAGAAGAATATAAGAACGGCCACACTGGGTCAGACCAGAGGTCCATCCAGCCCAGTACCCTGTGTGCTGACAGTGGCCAATGCCAGGTGTCCCAGAAGGAGTGAATCGAACAGATACTGATCAAGTGATCTCTCTCCTGCCATCCATCTCCATCCTCTGACAAACAGAGGCTGGGGACACCATTCCTTACCCATCCTGGCTAATAGCCATTGATGGACTTAACCTCCATGAATTTATCTATTTCTCTTTTAAACCCTGTTATAGTCCTAGACTTTACAACCTCCTGAGGCAAGGAGTTCCACAGAGTGACAATGCGCTGTGTGAAGAAGAACTTCCTTTTATTTGTTTTAAACCTGCTGCCCATTAGTTTCATTCGGTGGCCCCTAGTTCTTATATTATGGGAACAAGTAAATAATTTTCCTTATTCACTTTCTCCACACCACTCATGATTTTATAGACCTCTATCATATCCCCCTTAGTCTCCTCTTTTCCAACCTGAAAAGTCCCAGTCTCTTTAATCTCTTCTCATATAGGACCCGTTTCAAAACCCTAATCATTTTAGTTGCCCTTCTCTGAACCTTTTCTAATGCCAGTATATCTTTTTTGAGATGAAGAGACCACATCTGTATGCAGTATTCAAGATCTGAACATACCATGGATTTATATAGGGGCATAAGATATTCTCCGTCTTATTCTCTATCCCTTTTTAAATGATTCCGAACATCCTGTTTGCTTTTTTGACTGCCGCTGCGTGGACATCTTCGTTTTATACAGGGGCAGTAAGATATTCTGGGTCTTATTTTCTATCCCTTTCTTAATAATTCCCAGCATCCTATTTGCCTTTTTGACCGCCGCTGCACACTGCGTGGAAGTTTTCAGAGAACTGTCCACGATAACTCCAAGATCCCTTTCCTGATTTGTCGTAGTCAAATTAGCCCCCATCATACTGTACGTATAGTTGGGGTTATTTTTCCCGATGTGCATTACTTTACATTTATCCACATTAAATTTCATTTGCCATTTTGTTGCCCAATCACTCAGTTGGGTGAGATCTTCTTGGAGTCTCTCACTGTCTGCTTCTGTCTTGACAATCCTAAACAGTTTTGTATCATCTGCAAACTTTA